AACTCCGACCAGAACAAACTGGATTCAGGAAAGGCAAATCATGTTCTGACCAAATTGCAACTCTACGCATTATCATCGAACAAAGCATGGAATGGCAATCAAACCTCTACCTCAACTTCATAGACTTTGAGAAGGCCTTCGACAGCGTTGACCGCGAAGTAATTTGGAAACTACTCGAGTACTACGGCGTACCCCAAATATTCATCAACCTTATTCAACAGCTGTACGACAACGGCACATGTCAAGTGATCCACAACGGAAAACTCAGCGAAGCGTTTGGAGTAAACACAGGTGTCAGACAAGGGTGCTTATTATCACCAATGATATTCCTAATTGTGGTGGACTGGATTATGCATCAAACTGTGGGAAATGAGAAGACAGGGATATCCTGGACCGACGTGAAGAACCTAGAAGACCTGGATTTCGCGCGTGGATGATTTATGTTTAATGTCACACAAAATCGAAGACTTGCAAGCGAAAACCGACTAACTGGTCGAAGAAGCAGCAAAGACAGGACTCCAGGTGAACAAAGACAAGACGGAGGTTATGAAAATAACCAACCAACAACAACAACAGCAGCAACATCCACCGCCAATCATCATCAACTGGAGGGATTTGAAAGAGGTTACTTCATTCACTTATCTAGGGAGCATTGTCTCAACTACAGGAGGAATGGACGAGGATGTCAAATCGAGAATCGGGAAGGCGAGAAACACATTCATCAACCTGAAACCAATCTGGAAATCTTCCTCACTCAGCATCAACAACAAAATTCGGATTTTCAATACAAACGTCAAGTCAATTTTGCTTTACGGATCAGAAACTTGGCGGGTCACCAAGAATATTTCCAACAGTCTGTTGCACACCTTTATCAACAACTGTCTTCGTTCTATACTGAAGATCAGATGGCCGCCGGAAAGAATCATCAACAAGAAACTATGGGAACAAACAAAACAAGAACCAATCGCTCAACAAATATGCAGGAGAAAGTGGAGATGGATTGGACACTCGCTGAGGAGGCCGTTGGGTGACATTGCGCTTCAGGCCCTCTAGTGGAACTCGAAATGGAAGCGGCGAGTGGGATGTCCAAGGGTGACATGGAGGAGATCGTGTGAAGAGGAGTTGAAACAGTATGGACTGACATGGATGCAGGTGAAAAGTACAGCAGAAGACAGAAGCAAGTGGAGACGTGTAGTTGAAACGCTATATTCCACTAGGAACCCAAGGGAACAACAATAGAACTTGGAAGCCGTGTGCAATTATCGGATTATTAGACAAATCGAATAAAATAAAAACCTTAGCTAACATTGTGTGAAATTTGATAACATAGAATTTAACATTACAAAACAGCATTGATTTACAGTGACAAGGGAAGTCAACAATCCAAAGCTTTCAAATGTATAAAAGGTATGTAGATGACACTTTTATTATTTGTAGCAGTGATTGTAATTTGAATAATATATTAAATGCATTTAATGCATTTGCCATCCAGCGATAAAATTCACACACTCGAAATGGAGAGCGAGTCTAGTATTCATTTCCTCGATGGGAACTTATCAAGGAGAACCGATGGAACTCTGATGAGATCGATTTATCGTAAGCTGTCATGGAATGGTTAAGCGAAACCTGATCCGGTCGCATTGAGCGCATATGTATTCACCTGATACTGTGGAGGATGAGTCAAATCTTTCGAGAAAAATCCTAGGAGAAAATGGATTTCCATCACGTTTTTTAGACAAGAATATATGGTCAAATCCTATGAAATTTGACTTTCCATACGTACCCAAGAAAATACTGTACATGAGCTTGGAATTCAAAGGGGACTTAGCTTCCGATATCATGAAAAGAAGGATATCACAGTCCCTGAAAAGAACATTCTCTGCTACATCTTTTAGAATAGCCTTTACCAGTCGACCATTACTGTTCAGTAACCTGAAGGACAAGATCCTGCTGTTGACCAACTCTATGTGCGTTTATCAATTCACCTGCTTATGTGTAGCTAGGTATATCGATCGTTCGACTGGAGTTTTGTCCAGGGGAGTGGAAGAACACTATCCTGCATGGTTACGAAGAGGTGGAAGTTGAGTAATAAGAAGCGCGATCATTGAACATCTGGTCGGTAATGATCACCCTATCTTTATAACCTCCACCTCTAAAGTCATCTACAAGACAAAAAGTGATTTGCTCAAATCACTAAGTATTCGACTCATCTGCTGCATTGCTGAAGCTTTGGCTATCAAAATGGAAAATCCAGATCTCTGTATACAGAAAAAGTTCGCTCGACCCCTCCAGCTTTCATGGTCTTAATCCCTCTATGCTAAAGTACTGTAATCCATAATCATATTTTGGCTTTACCAATTTTTTCATTTTGTTTATTCAGTTTGTGTACTCTTCCTTTATTACGTCAGTTGTTAATATTACTACTCTCGCTTTGCACACTCCGCGGTATTATTTCACTTGTTCCACTTGTCGTTCTCAATGAATTCTGTTTTGCAGCGTTAAATTCTATGTTATCGAATTTCACACAATATTACGTGACGTTTTTTTTATTCAATTTGTCTACTAACTTTATAATTATTGTCCGTTTTGCTTCTGGACTGCAAATCATTATTTTGACGCCTGCATATCACATGTTGACTTGACCCCATATTATATGTCTTAGTGCTTGTTTATTATCTAAATTTTATGCTTATCTTTGTGGTCGTGTAATGCATTGATAATGTGTTGTTTTATATGGTGCGATCTTGTTTGAGTGAGTGAAAGTCATTCTGACCTCGGATTGTCTTCGAGAAGCTTAGGTGTGTGATTCTTATGGACAGAGCTTTTGGTCCCATCTTCTTGGGAATATTCTACTTGATTCTATGGTACTTGTTTCGCATTTAGACTGGACTGCATAGCTGCCTAACAACGGCACTCACTGTTGAGGTAGTCTCGAGATTTTGATGTTATTATTATTTAAAAGAACCGCAGAATTAGTCAAGAATAGTCGTCTTTTTCCTGTCTTTGGAGCGTTTCGTCATTGTGCGTTTCTCAGTCAAGTTTGTCAGCTGTACACGGAAAACTCATGGAACTCTTCAAAGTGAAGATGGGAGTAAGACAAGCTGGTTGGCTGGCTGCCTACTATCTCCAATGATTTTCCTGATTGAGGGTGGTAGACTGGATAATGCGACAGAAAGCAGTGGGCAACGAGGAAACAAGCAATAAAAGGAAACCACACAAAAACCTGGAGTATCTGGACTTCGCCGATGTGATATTTTTCTGATTTCTCACAAACTGGAGGATATGCAAGTGAAAAGCAACAAGTTGGCAGAAGAAGCATCAAAGGTAGGAATTCAGGTGGACATGGAGAAAACAGAGGCGGTGATGAAGATTCCCGGCCAATGGCAACTGCAGAAACAACAGACAACAGTCAACATTAATGGGAGGAATCTGAATGAAGTAACCTCTTTTACCTACCTGGGAAGCAGGATGCGGAACTGATGAGGATGTCAAAGCGAGGATCAGGAAAGCGAGGCAAGCTTTCATTACTCTCAAGTCTGTGTGGAGATCAACAACACTAATCAACATAAAAAATGAGATCCGGATTTTCAACTGCAATGTGAAGTCAGTACTACTTACTATGCGGATCAGAGACTTGCACTGCGCGTGATAAAGAGCATCTCAAACAAACTACAGACCTTCATTAACAGCTAGCTGTCTTCGCTCAATACTCAAGATCAGATGGCCAGAAAAGATCAGCAACAGAGATCTCTGTCCATGAGCGAACCAACCCAGCAGGAACCGATTGTACAACAAATATGCAGAGAGAAATGGAGGTGGATTGGTGGCCATACTCTGAAAAAACAAACCATCAAGTGAGTGATATCACGCACCAGGCTCTCTGTCAAGTGGAACCTGAATGCGAAGTGGCGAGTTGGTCTTCAGTGCTATGGTGACATGAAGGTCATGTGAAGAGGATATGAAAGCATGGGGTCAGACATGGAGCCACGTGAATACGTTGATGAAGAGTCGAAAGCGGTGGAACCTTACGGCTGAAGCCCTATGTTCTTCTAGTAACTAAAGGAAACAATAATTATCTTATTATAATAAAGTAGAAAGCAGAGGTCACATTCCTGCTCTCAGAGCACAATGAATAGGTTTTGGTCTTAACAGTTCGTAACTAACCCGCAAATCAATAATTTGATTTGTGGTTATTTCCAGCTTGGAAGACAACTTTAGCAGGATGATGTTTTCCCTCCGTGTAGCTTGACCACTGTATAAACACTTTCGTAAAGTGGAGCATTGAGGAAACTACTCTTCATTGCTATAGACTAACAGCAGTACTCATAAACACCACTTAAGTCGCCGCCGCATTCAGTGCATCTCCACTGGAATAGCACTGACCAAATACACTTAAAGCACCATTGTATTCTAACATTATACTTATTACATACGTTATCTGAATTTATTCTAACATGAAATGAAGACCATTTTAGTCTGAGACGAGATTTTTTAAAGAGTAATCTATTCCGTGGAACCAGAAGACTATACTCAAAACGGTCTTTAGACATAAAGTTGTTGAAAAGCTCAGAAGAGATGTGTCTGTGTAGAAAGACGACGGGAAGTTCAAGTTCAAAGAATATCCAATCTTCTTCAAAAGTCAATAAAAGGCTGATTAGATGACTGACAGAATTTACCCCCCCCCCACACACACACATACACACGGACACACAAAGTCTGAAAAACCAACACTGTGAACAAAACTGCTGAACAAAAGCCCTTTCATTTCCCATTAATCAATTTTTATCCAAGCGATAATGAAAGTCAAGGTCATTGGCATGTGATTGGCTAAGAATCTTAACGCTACAAATACCATTTGAATTCCTGCCATTTTTCTAAGTGTCATCATCATCACCATAGTAAAATCGATTATGTCAATCAAAACAAACTAATAAAGTAAACGTCCGCAAAAGACAAAAATATATTTATCTATAAAGAAAAATAATAAAAATAATACTCACATAAATATATGTATGTATGTATTTCAGAAACTTCTGATTATTTTGAATATTTGTTTTATTATTCCAAACATAAGTATTCAAACTGCCTGTTAACATGAAACATTGAACACCGATGTCAAAACAACAGTCCACCCATCGTCACCTCGATTCACTTCAACTGTCTCACGTATAAAGCACTCAGGCAATTTAAACGCTAAAAAATAAATCAACAACAAAGAGAAATATATTAGTATGACGCAGAAACCATTTCCTTCATTTCACCAATCAGGTAAACGCGCTTTTGTGTTTTTACTAATTATTGATCAGTCGACAGAAATATTGATTTTTTCGTGGTTACTTTTCCAAGGAAAACATGAAACACTTTTCTTCTGCTTTCAGTATCACTAATTTCTGTCATTTTTCATTTATTATTTTTGGCTGGTAACAAGAAAGGCTTGATGGTAATTAATTAACGGCATGTCATTATCAAATATGCTATTTGAAGTTGCGTCACTTTTCATGAAATTAGTTTTAACTTGCAGAAGAGAAAAAAGATCAATAGTTAATTGTTTGAGAATTTTTGAATGTCTTTTGTCGGAAGAATAACTTGCCTTGAGAAGGGATCATGTGACAGTGAGCGTGTGGAGGAGTGTAGGTGGGTGTTAATTGGTTGATTCGATGTACAAGTATGTAAGGCATCTTCACAGACGCACATGTACACACACACACACTCAAGACATACAGACAAATGCACACAGTTTTGGTTGATAAGTCAATGGAATCTGGCTAGACAGTTATGTGATTATAAGGTAATGAATCCCTTTAATAACTGTGGTTAGTGCTATTAGTAAACGGAGATTATCGGAAAAAGGTTGTCATTGATTTTTCGCAATACACTCCGAACCATCTGATTGCATGCTTAGCAACGAAGAACACCACCCCCCCCGCACAACCATCAAAAATGCAACACACAAGCTGGATGGAATGCATAAACCTATGCCTAACAATGTACTTCCAATTCACAGGCTAAATATATGAACAAGTCAAACGAATACCCATAGGATCGCCAATATAAGGTTCGATTGCAGAAGCAGTGATGCAAAGGCTCGAAATCACAATCCTACCAAAGATAAAACCCAAAATTTGGATGCGTTACGTAGACAACACATTTGTAATATTCAAAAGAAACGAGTTAGATAGAACTCACAACTTAACAAACAACGTCTTCAACGATATCAAATTCACAAGAGAAGAGGAATCCGAGAGGGAAATCCCACTTTTGGACATCTTAGTCATGCGAACAACCACAGGGGAATTAGAAACTCAGGTTTATAGAAAATCAACTCACACAGACCAAATACTGAATTACAACGGCAACAATCCAAAAACATTATTCAAGAGGGCCAGCCAGGACTCATTGCAGCGCTCCCACCTTAAAGAAAATTGAAGATATCTTGTGAACGTCTTCCGAAAGAGTGGATATCCACAAAACTTCATCAAAATACATATACCCCACAGCCAACCCACCAAATCAAAGGCACCCAAAGAAAACACAAAGCAAATCGCCCTATATCAGCTATTAAATAAATTGCAACGACTGCGAAAACCACTACAGTGGTCGAAGTGGACGCCTTCTCCTCTTCGTCTTCACATCTATGGTCACAAACAAGCCCTCAAAAGACATGACATGCACTCCCTCATATCACTACATACACACAACCATAGACATCAATTCGACTGGGACAACGTCCAAAAACTACGCAGAGGAAACACCAAGAATACCAAAGAATGTGCAGAAGCCTGGTATTGCAGAGAATCATCAATCAATAGACACACTGACTTAGACAAAATTTATCGATCGATAAGAAGGAAACCTCACACACACAAAGGGTCAAAGTTCAAGTCAAGGAAACAATCAATACCCATACCAACACAAGTAGCCTCGAGGGTATGAAAACACACAAAATCAACTAATCGTGTTCAAGGTCACCACCAGGAGGAATGACTTGTAGACATTTGGAGAAATCTAAAAGAAATCTAAAATCTAAGAAGTTAAAACATTCTGGTATAACCCAACCCTTACTCCTACAATTCGCTAATTCTCGCATCCTGCCTATTATTCTATATTGTTCCCCCTTAGTTTTTCCAGGGCTACTGAAGAAAGACTATACCTTATTACGCAGGATGTTAAAGGTTGTCAGCAGGGTAAGCAACGTGCCACTTAACCAGCTTGTTAATATTCTGGTTGACAGGTATATGGGCTCATGTGAAAAATGGGCCACATCCATTTTATCTAACTCACAACTCTCCCCTTGCATCTCATTAGGCAAAACCAGAAGCCTATATAGAAAACAATATGCTCGCACCAGCAAGTACAAAAACTCAACCATACCCTACTTAGCTCGTGTTCTGTGCGATAAAGAAAGCATTAGGCGTGAGACTTATAACTTATTAAATAGTCAGTAGAACAATTGGATCTCGTCTTTCCAACTCATATCACTTATAGGTACAACATTTTCTTTGTTTTCCTTTTCTCTCTCTCTTTTCTTTTTTTTCCGTTATGTGCTGCTTTGTTTCTTTCTCTCGCTTACGCCAGTTAATAAGACAGCTCCCACTTCTCTAACACCTTCAAACACTGTTTCAGCTTTACCTTTGCTACTGACATGCCAATGTGTTGTTGTAATAATGAACTGTGGTTTCCTTAATCTATGTAGAATTCTATTTATTGATAATGTACTAACTGGATGCAGTACTGAAGTAAAAATGCTGAGAATTCCATTCTGTATCACATGTACTGTTTTGGAATAAAGCAAATTATTATTATTATTACAAAAAAAGAAGCCCACTTCATCGAATTGAAGTGTGTGCTGAAGATGTTGTCTAGTAGGGGGCAATGAAAGCTTTGCAAATAAACTATCCATCTCAGGGACCACAACTACATCATAAACACCTTGTCTTTTTTTTTCATCCATACTCTGGGAGGATTGTTCATGAATACCAATCAACATACCTTCAGTGTAATCAGAGTGTATCCAACCCCTGGAATTGGCTTGTCCGGAGATAGAGGGCTAGACTCCGTAAACAAAGCAACATGGAATTACTTAATAGCACAGTGCCCAAGTTTTACACATGTATTAATGCATTCAGTGTACTGCTGTGCTGCTAATTATTGGGCGGCCTGCTTGAAAATTGGGCTACTAAAAACGTCCATAAATATAGTGTATATAATTTCCATTTTAATCTGATAAAATATGACCTCTAGTAGTGTTATTTGCTCTGGTGAGTATTTAAAAAGTTTACATCCTGCTGACTAGCATGTTTCTATTAAACTTGAGAAAAAGCATTATCCAGCTTGATGGATGGCAGCTTATCCCAGTACATGAGCTAACTGTTCCTGAGTTGAGCCCATGGTTCACAGAATGTACTTCTATGGTTTCTTATAACCGACATTCAACTAAATGTCGTAAATTTCTCGAAAGAGACAAAGAAGAGATATCAAAGTGGATTGGTTTGAGCTTCAGATCAGACAGAACCCTGTCACTAGATCTACTGTCAATTAATATTTTATTTGAGAATCCAGGACAAGGAGGACATATCACACAATAAACCCTGCTAAAAATTCTGTACATTGCATAAACACTGTTTAGAATTAAGCCATTATTATTATTATTATTAAATAGTCAGAAAGAAGCAGTTATCAGTCTTTCCTTGCCCATCCTGGTAACTTCGTGTCTTTATTCTCTCTTTCATTTGATTGCGTAATCTTTGGCTTTAACCTCATTCTACTTTGATATAGAGCAGTTTTGCTTGTCTCTTGTTTCTGTGATTTGAGTTGAACTCACCACACTATTTCTCAGTTTCATTAGCTACTCATCATCTCACGTATCTCTCGTCATTATTATATAACTCCTTTACCATGGTAGGTATACACTCACTTTGTTTTAACTTGAACTCCTTTTGTAAAAACTACATAGGCGCATTTTCTGAGTATTGTTCACTAAGCCCGGAACCTCCTGTCAACTGACAGACATCGTGTAAAATTTGCAGGTGTGTAGAAAACATTTTCTGTACATGAACTTAATAATAATTTATTGAGGCTTTAAGCAGCTGGGCTGATGAGAAGCCAACCAAAATCAACACCGATGGTACCATCACCTTATTCTGCACAAACCCCACTGTTGCTCTTGCTTTATTCAGGCGTTGAATTCAGTTCTCGGTCTTCACACACTCACCTTGACAATGTTTATTGTTCTCATGCCTTTATAAAAATATTTAAAAAGAAATTGTTTTCTTTATTTTGTAAATTTTTTAAAATTTCAGTTAATTTGTATAATTGCATTTATACTGTTTGCTATTATATTCTGGACGAAAGTGGCAGTATTAGCCCTACAGCCTACACTGAAGAATTTGAAAGTTGACGGTGATCTGAGCAATTCAACAGTAACTGATAGTGTGAATCGTGTATTAAGGCATTTTGCACGTAAGTTATCTTTTTATTGTTATTATTTTATTTAGATAGAGTATACTTATATTTCAATAGATTACACACAATGATAAGTTTTTGTTTTGGTAATATTTCGAGCAAAATTACTGCCCCCGTGATCACACCAACTGGTGGATGGAGTTTACTGGAGTTCTAGTGAGAAGTCGTAACCAGTGAGATCCATCCAGATGTCACGTGTGAGGATGGATTTCCCACCGACGACATTTTTTTGTGGTCGCGATAAATCACTAATTGGTAGAAGTTAGAATTCATGGACTGGCCACTGAGTAGTCGGGTCCCAGTGGCTGAATGGTCTACGAGCTTGCCTTGTAACCAGAAGGTCCTGCGTTGGAATCCTTGTGGTGGGTGCGTATTTCCGATGATTCCCAAACTAGGATGAGACAGCTCACTGACCAGTACTTTCTGCTGGTTTTCAGTGGTCCTCTAACTGTGAAATAAATCCTTGATCAACTAGTAAAAAACAAAACCAATCCTTACAAACCAACTATAGGGAATTATTTTGCTTTTTAATTCACACATTTATGATTTGTACTCATATATATATATATATATATATATATATATATATATATATATTGTCCATTCATTTTTGTGTATTCAGAATTATATTCCAGGTTGTTGACAGTTGCGAAGAGTAACATGTTGGTAATCATGAAAAAGAACGACGCTGAGAAATTCCTCTCACACACATAAACAGCCATGTAGACACAATAAAATTCACCACGGAAATTGAGGGACTGCTTATGTAAGACTTCGAAATACAAAGAGTAACAGATAGTAGCATAAAAACGATGCTATATAGAAAAACTACACATTCTGGGTGATTCTTTTATTATCACTCAGGTCATCCACTCACGGTAAAACGAGGATTAACACAAGGTTTTGCAGATAGAAA